AGTCTGTATTTCTCATTTTTTTTATTCTTTTGCGTAAAACTAAAATTCATGCCAATATTTTTCCATAATTTATAATAATTGGAGTAATGCAAATGCATATTTTCTAAAAAAAGTCATTTTTAGTGAAATTTTGCCGGGAATGGGGCTTTAAGATACATCAGAAAATTGTCTTTTGTACACTACAGATTTTTTAAGAAAAAAAATATGGAACATCAAGACAAAAATATCAATATGGGGAAAACGTATACATATATAAACTAAATAATGGACGTTTAAGAAAGATTTTTTATATAGGGTGTTTAAAATGGTTTGAAAGTGCTAAGAATAAGACTTAAGATTAAAATCATGCAATGCTGTATATTCTGACTCAGATTGTTCTTAAAAGTAGGTTATGTGATCGCCACACTCTTAATATATGCTTTGCAGTACTTATCCAATGTTACCCAATGCCATTCACAGCTTGATTTCAAGATTTCCTGAGATAAACAAGTGCCATATCCTCTTCTCCCTTTGTACATAATGTGCATGTGATGTCATGATCAGTAAACCAATAGTGGGTTTGAGATGTTAATGAAACAGTATTTGATCTGGTTTTGAATTTCAGGAAAAAACTGTGAAAATCAAGTTTGACCATTATATAACATTCACAATCCTGTCGTGTTTTAATTTGAGAATACATTTTAAATGAAGACTTTCTAATTATTTGCTCCTTCATTTCCTGAGCATTATGTTCTCATACTAAATTTCTTTCTTGTAGAGGATGACATTAATCAACTGAACACATTACATCAGTCGGTATACAGTGAAGCTTCATCATGGTTCAATGCCCTTAGGTCCGTCTTTCGTTCACGGATCTCTAAACACTACGGAGGAATGCCAGCATTACCGGAAAACCCGCTAGAATCACCTGATGGCCCCGGATGGACTTGGTGGTTGCTAGCCGTCCTTCCTGTAGCCCCAAGAGCACAACTAGAATGCATGTCAATGACAAGCCTTAGGGAACGTCTGTTGTTCCCACGAAGATGCCTGCGAGCAGCGTCAGAGTCGTAGATCTGTAAATTTGTAAAATATTATCTAATAATGTCCATACGGGTTTAAGCGTCTACAGTATTTAAACTATCAGCAGTATTTCAAAATATGTGGAACATTGCCCAAATAAAAAATTGATAGGTACATATACCAGGGAGATGTAAAAATTATTTTTTACATCTCCCTGCATATACTAACTGTGGTTGTATTTGCTTTACATTTCTTTGATTCAAATCCACTATTAGTAAAATTCACACCGGAGTATGTGTCCTTTTCATGACAATGTAGAAGGCTTCCTTTAGGTTTTGAGGGGTTCTGTATTAGTTAACAAAATTATGGCATAAAAAATATTATGGAGACTTTTTGATATTTGCTAAAATTTGTTTAAATATTGTGTTTTAGTATTTGATTTCATGGTTAATGTATTCAAATAGACAAATAATGTCTCTTCCAGTGTAGCACACATTTTTTCTATAAATATTGATTTTTGCACTCAAAATGTCAGTTATGCCCTTTTGCCTTGGGTTTTCTGATTCAAGACATGTTGACAAACTTTGGCAAAAGGATATAAGTACCCAGTTTAGTTCCTTTCAACGCAATTTTGAGTCAGATTTTTCAAAAATAACATTCAATATATAATTTCATATGTTAGTCATGTATAAACTATAAAATAAATGTACAATAATACCAAAGAAATGCATTAAATAATAAATACTAAAATTACAAACGATTAAAAACTCATGTATAGGCTAACCAAATATACAAACAAGAAAATGAATTAACATTAGTATGCTATTATGTATCAACAAAGCCTTTTTGGCTCAAGGTGCTAGATCGAGGACCCTTTGGGTAGGAGGCCTTATGGACCCCTAGGGGTCTGGGGGCCTCGCACAAGAGCGCATAGGGTTTACGTCACTGCGTGAAGGATGCATGCGTATGCGTATATGAAATAGAATTGCTGTTTAGTTAGAATGCGCATGTGACTGTTTCTATCTGTACGTTAAACAAGAATTACAATAGTTTTTAAAATTTTAATTTATATTTTAAGTCATGTAATTACCAATATAAATTAGGCCTATTATTATTATTATTATTATTATTATTATTATTATTATTATTAGCAATTCTTTTCTATGATCCAAATTCAATAATAAAATGATTACGAATATTATTGTTTTTTTATATTCTAATAAAATATTTAGAAAATGTATTATATATATAGATTTAGATGGAAATGTAAGTTGTTGTTTGCTTAGTGAACACAGTTGATTCAAGTAAACTGTGCAGTTATACCTTTTTGTCATGCCATTTGCTATAAATAAATGTTGTAGTTGTGCCTCTTTGCCATAGTTATTTGCTAAATAATCGTTTTAGTTGTCCCTCTTTGTCACTGTTATTTCTAGTTAAAATATGAATTGTTATTCTGCCATGGTTAATTATTTTTATTAAACAGTTACTATTTTCCTATAGTTTATTTCCATAGTATTAAACTGTTGCCATTCAAAGTAATATAAGAGACAGGTTGCCATTCAAAGTAAGGCAAAATTATATAGCATAAATTAACTAGGCTTATCATGTTTGCCTAACATTAACTAGACATATGCTACTGTCAAGAATCATACTATTTAACCAATTTCTATTTACAAATTGTGAATACTCAAACAGTAAGAATAATAAAAATAATACAACTTAACATGCAACCTTCATTGTAACCAGGGAGAAAGCTCTCTTCTGATTGGTTGGCTGTTGAAAGAACGTCACGCTTCAGCGTATCACAGCCTATCTTTGCAGTTATGCCCTTTTGCCTTGGGGATTTACTGAAAAGTGTGTAGTTATGCCCTTTTGCCATGCCCCTATCTAGCCCGGAGGACACTTTTTTACAATTTTTTTTGTGTCAACATTTGTAACATGATGTACTGACCCCACTAGGCTATATAACTCATTTTCGCCAAAAATGTCAGTTATGCCCTTTTGCCATGGGGGGGGGGGGGCAGTGTATTGGTTAAAAAAATTATGGCATAAAAAATATTATGGAGACTTTTTGATATTTGCTAAAATTTGTTTAAATATTTGTCTTCTTTGTTTTATCCAAGTTTTATTTTTGTGGACATTTATATTTATTTGCCTTTTATTTTGTGATCACATTTTTATTCTTGTGTTTTATCTGCACTTATTGTTTCCTTTTTCATTAATTTAAAAAAAGAAATTTGTAGGTCTGATTTTATTCGTCTCAAATTTTGTTGCTCTTTGTTTATTGATTTTATGTTTATTGATTACTAATCAGCTTAATGAGATTACATTAATTAATGATGGAAATGATGTAATGACAATAAAGACATGTGTAGGATCAATGTTTATTGATTAGCAATCATCTTAATGAGATTATATTGATTAACGATAATGAATACAATAAAGACGTGTGTAGGATCAATGTTTATTGATTAGCAATCATCTTAATGAGATTACATTGATTAACGATAATGAATACTATAAAGACATGTTTAGGATCAATGTTTATTGATTAGCAATCATCTTAATGAGATTACATTGATTAACGATAATGAATACAATAAAGACATGTGTAGGATCAATGTTTATTGATTAGCAATCATCTTAATGAGATTACATTGATTAACGATAATGAATACAATAAAGACATGTGTAGGATCAATGTTATTTTTTATTGACACACTGCAAAGGTCCATTAAAATTGAATATTTTCTAATATTTAAAACGTTACATGAAATTCAGTAGCCACATGATTTTTATGACCACTCAGTGGTTAAATTTAAATATTACTTTGTTAATAGATAGTATTGTAGAAATGTGAATAATAAATAATGTTTAACAATATACTTCATAAATAGTTTTAGTTTATCCTAACAAACAAAACAATACCATCTTTTAGATATTCTGTCTGTGTGTATTAGCAAATAAAACAATATACTTTATAATTAGCTCTTGTAAGGAAGTGTTCCAAAGTACTATATAGCCTGTTGCATTTTATTTTGTCTTCTTTTGTATTGAGCATTGGTCCTGGGCATTGGTCCAGGACATCGGTTCTGACATTCCTCGGCGTATGTCTTGGGGGCATTGGTCCTCGCATCAGTCCTCAGCATCTGTCCTGAGTCCAGACTATTGGTTATGGGCATTGGTCTTCGCATCAGTTCTGGGCAATGGTTTGGGCATCAGTCCTGGGTATTTGTCCTTACAAGGGCGTCGATACGTGCTTGAAAGTGGGTGGGTGCGCTTAAGCATGGAGGTATATACCTCCATGGCTTAGACCCTCGGTCGGCTCCGTGGGTCGAAGCCCCTGAAACTTCGGCGTTCCAACCTTTTATAAGTATGTCATTTAATTGTTTTAAGACAGCAGCATAACAATTTACTATTAACCTTATTTCCACACTACGTCTACGTTAAAAAAAGTGTTTTGTATTCATAATAAAAAACCCACTTATTTTGTGCAAACTAACGTTTATATAAATTACGATTTGTTTTATATATTAGTACGTAAATGTACTCGCTTTAATAAGTAGGAGTTTAACTATAGACGAGTGGCGAGTGGTGAATAAGTGGGGGTCGTGTCCTCCTCTCGACCACCGATCAATGCCCATGGGCCCAAGTATCTGCTAGGCATCAGTCTTGATTTTGTTTTGATTGTGCATATGGTTCATGTTTGATGAGAGAGTAATACATTTTAAACAAGCAAAAATAAAATAGGCCTATCATTCTCGAAACTCGACAGATAAATTATACCGATTCTGTTTACTTTAGATCCTAAAGTAGCACAGTCAATCAATAAGGAATTATTCGTTTAGTTAAAGTCTGTAAATCCACAGACACTCCATTGTTCCAATCTGTGCATCCAGTAAGTGTCATTTGAATTGTTTTTTAAAATTTAAATTTTAACATAAAACAAACCCTAATTTACTAAACCTTGAAGCGACTGACTTGGTTATTTTTTTTTAATATATACAAATATAAACAGCTCCATGTAAATCACTACTCGAATAATTACATTTAGTAAAGGACTCTTTGAATTTTTCATAACGTAAGCAAATGATCCTAAACTGAAACCCCAGTTTAAAACCAACAATGATCGAACTTAGCTATACTGCAGTTATAGAGGGCAGCAGACAGCTTTTATGAACGTTAGAATCCCGAATTGATGCCCAGTGGGCTTAATCTCGTGATGAAGCCGATGTCGAATATTGAAGCCCCCCCCCTCTTTAGTTTGGAAAATTAGCCTCAAAAAGAAGCCCATCCCATGGGCTTCTTTTCAAGATAGCACAGGCTTCTTTTCGAGATCGTACAGTATATACACTGTACATGAATTTAAAAAAACAAAATAAATTAAAAAGAAGCTTGGTTTATACAGTAGTTAAATACACTCCATGATACAGATTGATTTCTTTTATAATATGATAATAGGATTGCATTGTATGCCCATCTTAAAAAAAAAAAATTTTTTTAAAGAAAAGGAAAAGAAAAGAAAAAAAGAAGACGCCCAGGGCTTCAATTTGAGGTTTCACGGTATTTGACACTGTTTTTGAATGATGTCCCGATAGTACCGTTTTATTCCTGGCTCGTGGCGAGTACCTTTCTGCTATCCTCTGTATCCGCCACATGCTCTTTGAAGAAGTAAAGTTAAAAGGCTTGTAAGAAGTAGGCCTAATATAGTCCCATTGTATCAGGGTGATGATGATAACATAAATGTTCGTAAATGGCCAAGAAAAAATTGTGTTGACCACGTTTTGGCAAAATTCAAAAGATGGGTAGGCCTGCAAAATAGGCTAGCCTTGGCCCCCTAGCATATGGCATGGCCAAGGCTATTCCAGCTTTATTTGCTCGTAATAAAAATAATAATAAAGTAAAATATCGACCCTGAATTTTGTAAAATTTGAGTCGGTCGAGCGTGGCCAATACAATAATTTTCTTTTTTGGCCTAATTAGATTTATTATGCCTCATTTACAAAAGTATACGGATATGTGGGTCATATGTTGCAATGCTATTATCTCAATTAGGCCTACTATTAAACAGTCATGTATTTATTTCAATCGATCGGCTTGATTTAAAACAAGGAAAATTAAAATATTTTTTTAATTACTGATATGAAACTAATTTTCTAAATATTGAACAAAATA